CTTTGAAAGCCACAATGTCTTGCCCATCCCCAACTTGCCATCTTAATCCTTGGAGAAGGAGGTCTCTACCAAAGAGTAGGCTACGCCAACCCCAAGAAGGGTCCGAGCCAAGACTAGCATCCAAAATTGTGCCCTGCTGAAAGTACCGACCCTTATAGATTGAAGCCAGAAGAGAATCCGGGTTTTGCCAAATTCGCCAACATTGTTTTGCTAACAAGGCTTGGTTAAAAGCCCCAAAGTCCCTGAAGCCTAAACCCCCCAAGAAATTTACTATGCGCCAAGCTTTTCCAGGATACCCAATGTATTGGATGATCCACATTATCTGCTGAGCCCCACCAGAATCTAGCTACTTGACTATTTAGTCTCTTGCAGTTCTCTTTAGGAATCTTGAAGCACGACAATCCATGGACTGGAAGGTTGGTGGCAGCTGTTCTAATCAAAATGTCTTTGCCAGCCTTAGAAAGAACCTGCTGTTTCCACCCTTGTAACTTTTTAATAAGCTTCTCTTCTATGAATTGGAAGGCCTCTCTTTTTGATCTAGATATGATAGATGGGAGTCCCAAATAATAATCATGTTCTCCAATGCTTCCCACTCCTAACTGTCCTCCTAGATCCGCAGCTAGATCTGGGTTCATATTGCGGCTGAATATTACTGCTGACTTTTGCAGGTTGACTCGTTGGCCGCTCAGACCTTCATAGGCTTGGAACAGGGAAAGAACTATTGAACATGATTGCGTGGTGGCCTCTAAGAAGAGATAAGAGTCATCCGCAAAGAAGATGTGGGATATCATCGGGCAGTTTGTCCTGATTCTGACTCCTTCCAGATATCCTACTGCTATTGTGTGCCTTATCATTGCAGAAAACCCTTCTGTACAGATAGCGAATAGGAGGGACGATAAGGGATCTCCTATCTCCTTGCCTAAGACCTCTTGCTGGGCGAAAATAGTTTGAGGGGATCCCGTTCACCAGAACCGAGTAAGAAACCGTTGTGACACATTCTTTTGTCCATGATATAAATTTGTGGTCAAACCCTAGAACTTTCATCACTTCAAAGAGGAAAGGCCATTCCACACGATCATATGCTTTTTCCATATCTAGTTTTAGAGCCATCCATGTTCTTTGACCTGATGTTAGAGTCCTGAGATGATGAGTTATCTCGTGACTGATTAGAATATTGTCAGAGATTTCACGCCCTTTAATGAACCCATTCTGGGTTTGGGATATTACACTGGGGAGGACTCTGCTTAGTCTATTGGCTAGGATTTTTGCTATGATCTTATAGACTACTTGACACAGGCTAATAGGTCTGAGATTTTTCATGGATCTAACTTCTGCAGTTTTTGGGACCAGTGAGATCCAAGTCCTATTAAAAGATCGTAGTAGGTGACCAGAGTGAAAGAATGCTAAGACTGCTTTAGTGACACTGCTGCCAACTATATCCCAGTATGCTTGATAGAATCCGGCTGTGAATCCATCTGGTCCCGGGGCTTGAGTTTTCCCCATACTGAAGACAATTTCTCTGACTTCTTCTGGTGTGACACTATCTATAAGAGCTTGATTTTGTTCATCAGAGACGAAACATTCAAACGGTAGATTGGAAACATTGATACCTTCATTAAGCTGAGACTGGAACAAGGTTTGATAAAATTCTACTGCTATGCTTAGTTTCCGGTCCTCATCTGTGCACCAAAGGCCCCTAGAGTCCTCCAAACCCCAAATGAAATTGGCCTGGCGTCTGATTGCCGTTATCATATGAAAATATGGGGTGTTACGATCCCCTTCTGTTAACCAGCTAACGCGCGACTTTTGTCTCCAATAGATTTCTTCCATCCTATACTGAACCTCTAGCCTCTCTTCCAGAGACCGTATCAGGATCCAATCCACTATGCGACTTTCCCGTGCTTCAACAAGAGCTGTACTTAGGTCTTTTATCAGCCTGGCTGAGTTGGAAGTACCCCCTTTGCACCAATCGACTAGGGCGTGACGGACCCTGAGCAATTTGTTAAAAAGACAAAATTGTAGAGATCCCGTTATGGGTGCATTCCAGACGTAGTCGATAATGAGTTTTGCTTCAGGAGTTCTAGTCCACCTAATATCAAAATGGAATAGACGTTTAGCTCTAGACGTTTCCGGAGTTGTCATGAGGCACAGGAGTCTATGATCTGACCCTTTATCTGAGAGATGATATAGACAAGAATTTGGCCAGTGGAATGCCCAACTTGTGGAAACAAATGCTCTGTCAATTTGTTGTTCAATTAGGATACCATTTCTTCCCCGGTTAGTCCAAGTAAATTTTGGTCCCTGAATTCTCACTTCTAGCAGACCCAAGTTATTTAAAAAGTCCCAAAGGGGCCGGGCTTTGTCCATTCGCCATGGGGCACCACCTGATTTCTCTACCGGGGATAAGGAGCAATTAACATCTCCAATTATTAGAAAGGGGTCTGACAACCTTGCACAAAATCTATTAATCTCCTCAAGTTGTGAGCGCCGATTTGCGATTATGTAGGAAAGGTAGACTCCTACTAGCACGAAACGAGGACATGCACCGTAGCAATGGGAGTTATTATTGATGACCGAAATAGCAATGAAAAAAGGGGTTGAGCCAATGACTGAGACCGAATTCCCTCTAGGCCACCCAAATACTAATCCCCCCGACAGACCGGTAGGGTTAACTGGAAAGCAATCTGAAAATCCTAACCGTGACATGAAAGATTCAACTTTATCTCTAGGAGACATTGTTTCACAAAGAAATAAAAAGGACTTAGACAAATTTCAGTGAGCTTTTAGCGTATGGAATGTCAGGGTACTCCCCACCCCTTGACAATTCCACGCGTATACATTCATTCAGATTGGTGGGGCCAATTGGGGCTGGCTACCTCCACCTTTTTTCCTTTGTTATTCTCCTCGCCTGTAGTATTTGGAACGAAATTAACCACTCCTTCTTCTGGTTCTTGGATACAAATTCCGGTATTTCTTCGAACATACACCTTTGGGGACTCTGACGATTCAATCAGTATTGCCTTCCCTTTTGACTTTCCATCCGCCACGCACCCTAACGGGGAGCAAGAAAAGGCTGTATCTGTAGATTGATCCATACCTTCATTATCAAAGAATTCCATTCCTATTCCTTGCATTCCAAAAGAGTGAATATCTTCAAAATCGTCAAATAAAAACCCAAGATCTTCACTGCAGTATAAGTTACCTATCCCATAAGAGGGTGATGGAGCTTGAACTTGAAGCGGAATGGGCTCCAGCACTAATGGTTGGGCGGAAAGGCCTTTAGAGTTGATGGGCCCGAATCTGATTTGCTCATGGCTGCCGAGATTGGACACCAACATCCTTTGGGCCGGCCTGCTGTCTGTTGCCTCTTCTATTGGCTGGGCCAAATCACAACTCGGCCCAAGTTTTGAAGGAATCTCCATATCACAGAGCAGGCCTTAGTTCCTGTAGGGTCAGCCGAATCCCTCAACTGGGCCGCCCCATGAGTTTCCTCTCTTCTTCCCCGTCTGAAGGACCGCGGCGGAATATGCCTTGCGCCGTCGCTGCTTGCATCACCAACACGGGATGGAGCTTCAAGGAGGAGAGTATTGGATCGTGACTGCGGATGAGGGCGGGCTCCATGACGCCAGACATTGCCTCCCCAATTCCGACCTCCCTTGCGCATAGCTGCGTAGGAATTTTCGTTGAGCTTCGGGCCAGTTCGATTTCCGATAATGTCCGGTCCGAACCCGTCGTCTCCAGTCATCGATTCAAATGAACAGAAGCTTTGACTGTGGCCTATTCTCCGGCACCTGAAGCACACCGACTTGATGTTTTCATATTTGAGCGAAACCCAAAAGGGATCCCCTAACGTGCCGTCTGTATTTCTTTTCCTGGCTTCCAGACGGTGTTGCAAGGGGGACGAGACATCGATCATCACTCTGGCTTTGAACACACAGCCAGGGTTTTCCCAGACAGCATACATCCCAGCATCAACGACGGAGCCCAACCGAGATGCTAGCAGTTTTCCAAGCACAACTGTTCTGTATTCCTCTGGCAAATTCCAGAGTTGAACGAGATATGGGACCCGGGCAAGTTCGAGGAAGACTCGTTCAGACGGTGTTTTCCACTTTTTTAAGGTAAGGATTTTTGAGTGAAGGAACCATGGAGCCTTCCCCAAGGCTTCCTGCCGATCAGTTGCATTGGAGAAGACGAGCTGGAACAGGCCATGTTCTGCATCCAGAACGGTGACCGGAGCCCTCTTTGCCCATAAGTTGTTGGCTGTGTGCTGAACTCGAATTCTGGAAGGGTGGGATGAGCATAGCAGTCGGCCTATCAAGCTCAGGCGAGCCCTATTCTGGCTAGCTTCCAGAACTTCGTCATTGAATTCAATTGGTCCTGCCATTATGTGGAATGAAGAGAGCAGGAAGCACTCTGTTTTTCCAGTTGTGAAACAGGGGAAGGCTTTCGGGCAGTTGGAGCAGGGGAAGGTAAAACCGAGTTTTGTAGGTTTTTTAGCTTTTACTGTTCTTGGAAGGGAAAACAGGAAGGCTTTATTGATTTGGGCTAAATCACTGTCTCTTTTAGCGGGTTCTTGTTGCTCGACAAAGGAGGGAGTATTAAGGCCATAATCAATACCTGGGCCATTAATTTCTCCATAACACCCAATTAATGGGTTTTGCAATATTGATTTTCGATTTGGGCTAATGACTGTCCCATTTGCGCCCCTAAAGGTACGCTTTACAGGCTTAATTACAGCCTTGATTCCTCTAATAATGGAGGCGAGGAATAATGAATTGATTGTCCTCAAAAAAATTAATGACGGTCGCATTAATGACATAACGGTTCAACTGAGACTCATGGTGATCGGCGGTCGCCTTACACGTCGCCGGAGATTATTCCAGACGGAGGTTCTGGAATTAGGAGATGAATCCGGCGATGGGCGGAGAGAACTTTAGGGGCGGAGATCACGGTAGACGTTTCTCCTGGAATCAGGGGACAAGATTTGGGTCGAAGTAGATATGGAAAGGAGGAGGATCCAGCTGAATCCGGGTTTAAATACTGCCATCGGTCGCCTAGTTAAGACAGTAGCCGGTGATTCCCGCCTGATTGTTCCGTTGTACTCTCCAGATTTTGGCGCCATCGTCAAGACTTCAAGCCGGACTGGAAATCAGCGGGAGCGGCAGAGAGGGGTGCGGAGGCTGGGATCTGGTCGATTGGGATCAATACCGGAAGATTATATGCAGACCACGGTGGCGTTAGATGATGAGGGGCATTTCACCTTCCCTCCGTCTGAAGGGTTCAAGATCGATATCCAGCGAGAGCTTCAGAAGTTGGAAAGGGTTCTGGACCCTAGTGGCGAACCCACCCTTGCTGCACCGGAGCAGCTCCTACATCTTCCAACCGTAGCTGAGTGGACACCATCCGCTATTGGTGAGTCCTCTGAGGAGAACCCACCAAATCAGGCGCGCAATTTTCACTGTCTGAGCCAGAGCTACCAAGGGGTCCCCTTCCGTCGCCGCCGCCGTCGCCACCAGCGGAGCTGCACTTGCAATTTGCCCGGGTGCTGGAGGGTCTGGGTATTGGAATTATTGGGCGCATCACCGTCGCCGCCTTCTAGTTACCGAACAATGTAACCACCGTCCCCAGGTTTCCCCTCTCAGAGATTTGAGACACCTGAAGTTTGTGGCCACTGCTGAGAGATGGTCGTTGCTTAGGTCCAGAGGAAGGCGGAAGTCAAGGTTCCTGGATTTCAAATGTTGTTCACTGTCACAAAAGGGTCTCTTTCAATTGAATTGTTTTAGGCTTTCAATCGAATCGTCTACCACCGGAAAAAGGTAACAAGATGTAATTTCGTCTTCATTTTGTTCCTTTTTTTTACTGGTTTGCTTGTTCGTTCCTTAGGTCAATAGGCTGCTTTTTCACATTCCCATGGTCACCTGATTACTGTTATTGAGATTTGAGAAACAGGGTTTCTTTGATCATGATATTAGAGCAAATCGAAGATGGTTATGGAGAAGATGCAGAGGCTAAGGCTGAAGACGATGAGAAGATGAAGATGAAGTTGGCTGTAACCTGAAGCGACGACGTTTCCTTCCTCCGTTATGTAGCAGCCGTTAGTCAATAGTCATTCAGTTAGTGCCACGTGTTTAGGCACAGTAATTTCCTTTTAAATTACCGTTTAACTTACCTTCAACTTTTACTGTGGACAATTTCTTTGCTATATAGGAGAACAGAGAAGCACACTGCTCTGAGTTTTCCCCTCCAATTCACGAGCTGCTTGACCTAGCAGCTTCATTTTCTTCTTTCCTCTCCTTCTACTTCTTATTGTATCATAGCGGTATTGATCCATTGCTCCGCTTTATAGTCTGCTATGGCGAACAATCCACCTCCACAGACGCCACCAGGTTCACAAAACTCAGGTCCCATACCATTTGGCACTTTCAATGCTTCATCAAGTGGTGTTGGAGGCAAGATCTACAACAATAGTGGTGAGGATGCTCGTCAACAGCAGAATGGTAACAATACTCATCTGGGTCTAGTGTTTGGAAGTCCCTATTATATTAATCCTAGTGAAAACCTAGGTCAGTCCATCGTTGCTGAGAAACAAGATGGATCTAACTACCAGACCTGGCATTGAGCTGTGCGAATGGCTCTTAAGACCAAGCACAAGCTGGGTTTTATCGATGGGACACTTCCAATGCCTGATCGTACTCATCCTGATTTTGTTTTATGGGATGCTTCGAATACTATGGTTCTCTGTTGGATTCTGAATTCAGTACATAAAGACATCAACATGAGTGTGTTGAAGGATGAAAATGCAAAGGTTGTGTGGGATGAATTGAAAGCTCGCTTTGGCAGATATAATGCCATTAAGCTATCCAACTTGCAGGATGAAATGGCTTCCTGTAAGCAAGGCAATATGAGTGTGACTCAGTATTATATCACACTTAAGGGTTTATGGGAAGAGATTCAGCACTGTGGTTGAATGTGATTGTATAGCTGTAAGAGTTAGACCTTGTGCAGCAGTTGTTGCTTATAGACAGAAGCTTGAAACTGACTATCTAATAAAGTTTTTGAAGGGATTGAAATCAGACTATGATGTGATTCAATCTCAAATACTCATGCTGAAACCCTTGCCTGCTGTAGAAGTTGCTTTGGATGATATCTTACAGCATGAGCAGAAGTTACAAGGTGATAAGGGTAGAAGTACCAGGGGTATTCAATCAGTAGCACTAGCTGCACAGGGACAGACTGATCAGAACAAGAATTTTAGTCCTAACAGGGAGACTAAATATGAGACTGCTAAAGAAGGGAAGTTCTGTCGATATTGCAAGATGGGTGGTCATCTAAAGGAAGAATGCTATAGGTTGAAGAATAAGAAAGCACGAATGGCTGAAGGAGGTACTTTTGCTGGTTCTGTTTCTCAATCAAATTCACAAAGTGGTGATTCCACCTCCTCAGGACAAAGTGTTGGATATGAGAGCAAATCTTCTTCAACTGGCTCTCTCAATTTTACTAATGAAGAACTGAACAAGTTAAGACTTCTTCTTCAACAGTCTGATAGCATGAGTCCATCTCCACCATTATCACCTTCTATCAAGCATGCCTCATATTCAGTCTCACAGCACTTGCCATCTCAACCTAACTATGCTGGTAAATATGTCCTCTCTTCTTATGCTCAACATGGCTTAATGGCTCTTACTCAAGTCTGGATCTTAGATAGTGGTGCTTCAGACCACATAGCATGTACTCTTGCTGTGCTCCTACAAGCTAAATCTGTTTCCAACCAGTTTGTTTACCTACCTAATGGCTCTAAAGTGGGAGTGAGTCATATAGGTTCAGTCCAAATACCAAATGGGTTGATCTTACAAGATGTTCTCCTAGTTCCCAGTTTTACTTTTAACCTGGTCTCCATTAGCAAACTTACCCATGACCTGCCCATTTCCTTGCTGTTTGAATCTGAATCTTGTCATATTCAGGACCAAACAACCAAGAACCTGATTGGTTCAGCAAAATAGGATAGGGGACTCTACCATCTCACTCTTACACCAAGATCCACATCTGACATCTCATCCCACCAAGTTGCAACCACTTACAATTTCCTTCATCACCAAATAGACCTTTGGCAATGGAGACTGGGGCATCCAAGTAGAGACAGAGAACATCAAGCTACTGGATATAATATAATTTCCTTTCAACATTGTTCCACTTGTCACTTAGCAAAACAAAAGAAACTTCCCTTTCCTCTTAGTGACAGTAGGGCAATTTCTGCTTTTGATATGGTCCGTGTAGACATTTGGGGACCTCTTGCTGTTAAGTCACATGATGGCTTTTCTTATTTTCTTTCGATTTTGGATGATCATACACACAGTGTTTGGGTATTTTTAATGAAGCAGAAGTCAGAACCTTCTCATCTTCTGGAATCCTTTTGTGTTATGATTAAGAACTAGTTTCACAAAACTGTTAAGGTTGTAATGAGTGATCAAGGGAGTGAATTTCACATGATTGATTTCTACAATGCATTTGGGATTGAACATCAGCTTTATTGTGTGGAGACTCCTGAGCAAAATGCTCGAGTTGAGAGGAAGCATCAGCATATTCTCAATGTTGCCAAGGCTCTACGTTTTCAATCAGGATTGCCACTTCACTTCTGGAGTGATTGCATCCTGCATGAAGTCTTCTTAATTAACAGATTGCCTTCACCAGTGACTGATGGTGTTTCATCCTTTGAGTTGCTATATCATAAACAACCAGATTTAAATCTGTTGAAAGTATTTGGCTGTTTATGTTATGCATCTACTTTACTACGAGACAGAACCAAATTCAGTCCTAGATCTAGGAAATGTGTCTTTCTTGGCTTCCCTTCTGGGATCAAAGGGTACAAGCTCTTTGATATTAACACTCACCAAACTAGGGGTGGGCATCGGTGTGGTTTGGATCGCACCGCACCGCATTGATATAAACCGCACCGCACCGCATCTTAATCGGACCGCACCGCATGTTGACCGCGAAATTATTGGTGCGGTCAAACCAAACCGCATAAATTAGCGGTTTGGTACGGTTTGGACCGCACCGCATTTGTACCGCAATTATGGTTTGTACGTTAATAAATCATTTTGACTCTGTTTCCTGCCACCAAAACAGAGCAGTCCTATAGTGCTCAATTACCATTCAGTTTAACCCAATAACAAATCAAGCGTTGTAAACTAACAAGTGCTCAAATCTCAATCATCTATTATTAGAAAAGTTTTATACAATCAAAAAAATTGACAGCAAGCAAGGAAATGAAACCTCAACTTCCTACCTTCTCCCTCAATCCCCTTCCTTCCTAAACCTCTGTTTTCCCCTCAACCTTTGTTTCCTCACTATTGCTTGAATAAATGCACGATTTTGACCGGCAAAAACCACAATCACTAAGAGCTATGACTTCTTCTTCTTCCCTCAACCAAAACCCGCCATGGCTGCCATACCAAACTTACGGAGATTGTTCCCAAGGGAGAGGAGGTGCGACGGAAAAGGGAGAGGAAAGGTAGGGACTCTTTCTCTAGCAATCTAGCAATCTAGCAGATCCTTTTTTCCCGACAAATCAAACGTGAAAGGTTACTTAGCGGTTTGCGGTTTTGAACCGCAACCGCGCGGTTTCGGATTGATCCGACCGCAAACCGCGAACCGCAAGAAATTCCGACCGCGTATTAGACCGCAAGTATTGTGGTGCGGTTTGGCTCGACCGCAAAAGCGGTTCGGTGCGGTTCGGAGCGGTTTGACCGCACCAATGCCCACCCCTACACCAAACCTTTGTTTCCAGACATGTGGTCTTCTATGAGACCATCATTCCTTTCTTACATCCTTCTTCTTCCACTTCTGTTCCTACCTCTTTACCACAACATCCACCTTCTACTAGTACTATACCATTTTTTCCCAACAATCCTCTTCCTCCTGAGACATCTCCCTCCTCTTTTATTCCTTCTCAGACTTCATCTCCTTCTTCCACTTCTTTTCCTCCTTCCCCAGACACATTGCCTACCACTTCTGTTGGTGAAGCAGTAGAGTCTTCAGGAGTGAACTCTGAAGGGGAAGATGATGAGCTAGTTGCACAACTTGACTTTGAGGATGGAGAAGGTACTGATCCTGAGTTAAGAAAGTCAGACAGAATCAGGACAGTTCCAGTTTGGCATAAAGACTACAAGGTTGGAGCAGTTAGTAAATACTCTATGGATAAGTATGTGACTTTTGACAAACTTCCACCTACACATAAGGCTTATGTGATGAGTGTCATGGCTGTTACTGAACCAAGAACTTATGAAGAGGCTTGCAAAGAACTGTGTTGGAGGGAGGCAATGAAGGATGAATCTGATGCTCTTGAAGCAAATCAGACTTGGGAACCAGCTTATCTGCCACCTGGTAAGAGGGCTATTGGATGCAAATGGGTGTATAAGGTAAAACTTAGAGCTGATGGTACTATAGAGAGGTTCAAGGCCAGATTAGTAGCTAAGGGATTTACTCAGATTTATGGGATAGATTTCTTAGATACATTTTCACCAGTAGCCAAAATTAACTCAGTTAAAGTGTTGTTAGCAGTGGCTGCTGCCAATGAGTGGCTCATACATCAGATGGATGTATCAAGTGCATTTCTTCATGGAGAGTTAAATGAAGAAGTCTACATGAAACCACTACCAGGGATGGATCTACCTGACAAAAAGATGGTGCTGAAGTTAAAGAAGTCCCTTTATGGACTAAAATAGGCCAGTAGGCAATGGTTTGCCAAATAAGCCAGTTCATTGTTGAAAAATGGCTTTGCTCAAGCTGCTTCAGACTATTCAATGTTTGTTAAAAGAATTCAGGGAAGAATACTGGTTGTTCTGGTGTATGTAGATGATATTCTGATTGCAGGAAGCTCCTTGGGAGATATAGAACAGTTGAAGTTGTTCTTGGGAAGAGAATTCAAAGTAAAGGATCTTGGTGATCTAAAGTTTTTCCTTGGCCTGGAAGTATATAGAGATGTAAAGGGGATTCATTAAACCAAAGAAAATACTGCATGGAGTTGCTAGAGGACACTGGATATCTAGAGGCAAAAGATTGTTTAGCACCAATTGACTACAAGTTGAAGTTAACTGCTAAGCAGGGGAGCCCCTTACTAATCCAGAAGTTTACAAGAGGTTAGTAGGCAGATTACACTACCTTACTGTCACTAGACCATACTTAACATTTGCTATTCAGCAATTATGTCAATTCCAGAAAGATCCATATAATGAGCACTTGCAGGCTGCTTATAGGATCTTGAGGTATTTGAAACATGCTCCAGGACAAGGATTGATTTTTAAAGCTGATTCTGAGTTGAAGTTAAGTGGTTTTTCAGTTTCTGATTGGGCAAGTTGCCCTGACACGAGGAGGTCAATCACAGGGTATTGCACCTTGTTTGGAGACAGTCTGATAACCTGGAAATCTAAGAAACAAAGTATTGTTTCTAGATCATCCTCTGAGGCCGAGTATAGGGTCTTAGCACACCTGGTTTGTGAGTTGCAGTGGTTGAGAGGATTACTTGCAGAGATGGGTGTGAAAATTCCTCTACCCATTCAGGTTTATTGCGATAACAAATCAGCTATTCATATAGCTGAAAATCCTGTGTTTCATGAGAGAACGAAACACATTGAGATTGATTGTCATATTACAAGGGAAAGGCTGAAATCTGGATTGATTAAGCTTGAACATGTCAGGACAGAAGATCAGTTGGCCGATCTCTTCACCAAAGGCATGACGAGATACAGATTGAAGTTTTTACTTGGCAAGTTGGGAGTTTTGGGTATGCACTCGCCAACTTGCGGGGGAGTATTAGAGCAGATCGGAGATGGTTATGGAGAAGCTGCAGAGGCTAAGGCTGAAGACGATGAGAAGATGAAGATGAAGTTGGCTGTAACCTGAAGCGACGACGTTTCCTTCCTCCATTATGTAGTAGCCGTTAGTCAATAGTCATTCAGTTAGTGCCACGTGTTTAGGCACAGTAATTTCCTTTTAAATTACCATTTAACTTACCTTCAACTTTTACTGTGGACAATTTCTTTGCTATTTAAGAGAACAGAGAAGCACACTGCTCTCTCTGAGTTTTCCCCTCCAATTCACGAGCTGCTTGACCTAGCAGCTTCGTTTTCTTCTTTCCTCTCCTTCTACTTCTTACATGATGATTGGGGTTTTGATAATTATTTTCACTAGAGCTTGCTTTCTGATAGATTGACTGTAACGATAGGGATCTGGTTGTAATGGGGTATAATATGGGGATCATTTTGTAATTAGGCTTTCATATAAATAGGCTTGGTTGTACTGGACAAAGGGTATGGAATAACAATTTACACAATTTGCTTCTTCTGCCCTATCTCTTCTCTTCTACTTTCCTTCCCTGTATTCTCCTCTGTTTCTTCTTCCTCCTGTTCTTCCTCTTCTTCTTCAACTTTCTTTCCCTTTCTTACTCTTTCTCTGTAACCAAACAACTCGCCAAGACTATTCTTTCTCCCAAGGTGTGACAAGGTGGTATCAGAGCCATTTTCCGGCAGCCATGGGTCCACCGATGCGGACGATAGAAGACCGGTTAGCCGTCATTGCTAATTCGGCGACTGACCCAAAGCTTCGAGCTTGTCTAGCGACTACGGAGGTGCGGTTCTTGCAATTCATGATATCGGACAGCAGATTCAACGGGAAACAACGGGAATTGTCTACTTCCCGGACTTACGTCGACCAACTTCGCTTCTGCCAGGCGTATCTGGCGAGTCTTTCCCCAACCAACACCGACGACTGTAGACTCACCGGCAATCCATTGCCCCCGCTGCCAGCAGAGTTAGGCGGGGATCGGCGTGTTCCATTTCAGATTCAAGAAAATCGCCCATCAACTGTTCGACGAATTGATGAGCAGAAGGTTTCTACGATGAAGACTCCTTTGCCGGTGGTAGTTTCTTCTGCCTTCATTCCAGCTTGTAAGTCTTCCAACCATCTCCCTGCCGCAACTGGAATTCACAGCCTACCGGAAGGTAATTCTCCATATACTCAGCTTTTGGAGTTTCCCTCTTTCGTCAACGAGTTTAACGAGCTTAGGCAGCAAGGGTCGCTGTCAGAGTATCAAGCACAGTTTGCGAAATTGAAATCACTGATGGCTCGATTTAGTCCTGCATTGGATGAGGAGTTTTTCATTTCGAGGTTTATCAGTGGTTTAGAGGAAGAGCTACGACCAGTTCTGTCCATGTTGCAGCCCTATATTAGAACATTAGCTCAAGCCTACAATCGAGCTCAATGGGAAGAAGATGCCATTGCGACCTGCAAATTACAGCTTGATTTCGTAGGTTCGGAGGAACGAACAAAGACTGTGACTGCGGAATCTTTTCTTTCTCCAAACATGGTTGATGGGAATGGTGGTTTACTTGCTGAAAAAGAATATATTCCTATTGTTACCACTGACTCAACTATAAAAGAACCTGGAGATGAGTCTGCTCATACGGGACTTGCAAAGGCTAATGGGTTGACCGACACTTTTCCAAAAGGAAATGTTTCCTTGGGTTACATGAATTCAAGCTATTACACTGATGCTTCTGTTGGTATTGTGGATAGTCTGCTGGAGACTACTATATCTTCAGCAATGGGAGTAGTTGCCACAGGGGTGGATTTTGTTGTTGGATCATATCTCGACGTTCCTGTCGGGCGAGAAATCCACCTTTCAGCTGATGCTTCAGGTGATGAGGGTGTTCTGACAAGCAGCTTGTTCCCAGCGAGTCCGGTAATTGCAGTGGACATTCCTAGCATAGTTTCTAGTTTTACTGCAATGGGCGATGGATTTGGTGCGACTAAGGCCAACAAAGTTCAAAGCCCTGTACTAGAATCATCTCTCTTAATGGGCTCAGGGATAGTGTCTGCCAACTCGGATAACAGTATGAGTCATTCATCAACAGAAAGAGATCATGGTTATGAAAAGCAGACGATTGTCGAGAAGATGCCGGAGTTTGATGACATTGATGAGCAAGAAGCAGTTTGTGATAGTGGGCATGAGGACCAAAGCTTTATTGATAAGAATCATATGTCTCCCAAGGGTACTATGCTTCAATTGTTGGAACAGAAATCTGTCAAAGTTCAGGGCAAGCCTGTGGAGCAGAACCATGAGTGGTCTGTTGAAGATCCTCTGTGTATGACCAAAGGAGAGAACGCCAACAGAAGGCAGCATGCGGCTGCTATTGATGATGCTGAGTATAATCACAGGAAGATGGTCAAGATCAAAGCTAACCATAAGCCGCAATTACAGGTGGACTTTCAAGCACATGCGGAGAAACATGAATTGGGTGTTAATGATGTTTTTTATAAGGTTGTGCAAAGTGTTGTTTCTTCTTATTCAGAGGCTGTAAGTATGGTGTTTGTGCACAATCAGGGGTATTGGTGGCCTCGAGTCAAGCTTAGACTAAGGGATGTTTGTCTTAACTTCAAGGAACCGTATAAAGACTGTGTTTTCGAGGGCAGACCTGTGGGGGAGTTGTTTGATTGGCATCGCTATGATGAACCATGTGACTAGGGGTTGTATTGCAGCACTATGACTGTCACTTGTCGTGCATTTGATTTGATTTTTATGGGTTGTTGCTGTGTAGACATTGAATCAAGTGGACACGATCATTGGCTTGATTTTAAAGAGCCATATAAGGAGATTGCAACCGATTTTGCGGCTCGTGCACTTCGAGCTGTTAATTCTGTTGTGTGCTTGAGGACTATGGAAGTGCTGTGTTTAGCAGGCTGGAATGGTTGCAATGGGTGGATTGAGGGAGTTTGGCAACAGCTGTTGCTCTTCCTACTGCAAGAAGTTGTTGAGTTCTAATTCAGATTAATTGTCAGCGTTATAGCCTGCAAGCTTCCAGCCAATGGGTCATCACAGACCTCAACCGTTTACTTTCATTGTATTGTTTACTACTGTTGTGTTAGTCTTGTGTTTTACTCGGCTTGAGGACAAGCCTGTTTTCAAGAGGTGGGGATTGTAACGATAGGGATCTGGTTGTAATGGGGTATAATGTGGGGATCATTTTGTAATTAGGCTTTCATATAAATAGGCTTGGTTGTACTGAACAAAGGGTATGGAATAACAATTTACACAATTTGCTTCTCCTGCCCTATCTCTTCTCTTCTACTTTCCTTCCCTGTATTCTCCTCTGTTTCTTCTTCCTCCTGTTCTTCCTCTTCTTCTTCAACTTTCTTTCCCTTTCTTACTCTTTCTCTGTAACCAAACAACTCTCCAAGACTATTCTTTCTCCCAGGGTGTGACATTGACGGAAGTGGCAGATTGGTAGATATGGCAGGGAGCTCAAACAGCTCCAAGAACAAATGCAAAAGAAGCCACGAAGAGATAGACAGACTGGCCGATCTTTCCGACGACCTTCTGCTTCGCGTTCTCTCATTCCTCGACACCAAATCCGCGTTCCGGACCACCCCGGTGTCCAAGAGGTGGAGATCCTTGTGGAAAGATGTCACCGTCCTCCGTTTCAGAAGAGAGTCCTTCCCCGGTATGTCTAGCTTCACCAAACACCTGTACGATTTTCTGTCCCACCGCTCCAACTCTGCACCTGTAGAGAGCATTGCGATCGACTTCCCCTGGGAATGCCACGGATGTTCTGCCATCAGCAGCTTCAGCACTTGTCCATCAGTGGGTACTTCACGTTCGAATTGGGATGGATTGCTGCTTCCATCGCTCGCCATGGTCACCACAAATCTCTCGAGGCTCTCAAGTTGGAGGGAATTTTTCTTGGAAGCTGTGGTGAGTTTGCTTTGGGCTTCGAATTGCTTCAAACACTGGAGCTGCGTGGTTGCCATTTGTCCCCAGGCAATGATCCTTTTGCCAATCTCCCTTGTTTGAGCTGCCTCAAGATAATCGAATGCCCGGCATCTAGTATGCTGAAAATATCTGGATATCGGCTGCTAGACCTCGAGATTAAGAGCCTGGACTGCCTCTCTCGTGGCTACGAAGTTGTGGGCTCTGTAAAATACGAGAAAGCGGAAACGAAAAGAGACGAGATTTACGTGGTTTCCCCGTTCGATATGAACGGGACTAGTCCACGGAGAGCTGCAAGCTCTCGGAGTCTGTATTATTAGTTTGTTCTCACCCACTTAGGGTTCGGCCATACAACTGTAGCAGCTTAAATAAGAAAAACTAATTCCTATCTCTTCTACGTGAGCAACATGGAGAATAGGAAAATATCATGAGTGATCCCTCTAATTTAACAAAGTACCAAAGGGACCACAACACTCCTCAAGCGAAGGAGTGAATGTCAAGAAGTCCGAGCTTGACAAGTAAATGATGAAACTGGTCCACGCTTAACCCCTTGGTGAACAAATCCGCAGGTTGATCAGCAGTAGCAATCTTGGTAGGCGCATTATCACCAGATTGAACACGCTCACGAAAGAAAATGGCAGTCCATCTCGACGTGCTTAGTGCGTTCATGGAAGACAGGATTCGCAGCAATGTGGAGTGCGGCCTGATTATCACAAAATAACGGTGTCGGCCCAGCAGGAAAAACACCTAAGTCACTGAGCAGCCAACGGAGCCAAAGAATCTCACTAACTGTGCTAGCCATTGCCCGGTATTCAGCTTCGGCCGAGGAACGAGCAACAACAGTCTGTTTCTTGGTTCGCCAAGAGATAGGAGAATCACCCAACATGATGTAATAGCCAGTGGTAGACCGACGAGTAAGAGGACAACCGCCCCAGTCAGCATCACAGAAAGCTGGCAAAGTGAGGGTAGTAGTGGCGGAGAAGAACAGACCACGGCCAGGAGAAGACTTAAGATAACGAAGAACACGAATAGCCGCGTCCTCATGAGCTTTACTGGGAGTCTGCATAGCTTGACTGAGAAGATTAACAGCATAAGCAATGTCAGGCCGAGTGACAGTGAGATACAGTAAGCGGCCAACAAGACGGCGATAAGCCGCGGGATCACCAGCAGGAGGTGACGGAAGACGACCAAGCTGGTGTTGTTGTTCAATAGGTGTCGAACAGGGCTTGGCAGCCTCCATTCCTGCATCGGCAAGAATATCCAGCACATACTTCCTCTGATTAATAACTATGCCATGAGGAGAACGAGCAACCTCGATCCCCAGAAAGTACTTGAGGGGTCCAAGGTCCTTAATGGTAAAACGGTCATGGAGGGAGGCCTTGACCTTGGAAATAAAAATCATATTCGTGCCAGCTAAGATCACATCATCCACATAAATCAAGGCGACCACAAACACATCACCCTGGTGGTAAGTAAAGAGAGCATGATCGGCATGACTCTGCTGAAAACCGAGGTCCACGAGAGCTTTAGTGAACTTCTGGTACCAGTTCCGAGAGGCCTGCCGTAAACCATAAATGGACTTATTCAGTTTGCAAACACGAGTATCGCCAGGCTGAGCAAAACCTTGAGGAACTTCCATGTAAACTTCCTCTTCGAGATCGCCGTGGAGAAAGGCATTATTAACATCCAATTATGAATATGCCAACCACGAGTAACAGTAACTGCAAGACATCGCACAGTAACCAATTTAGCTACAGGAGGGAAGGTGTCATGATAATCCACACCTTCTATCTGCGTGTAACCTTTGGCTACCAACCGAGCCTTAAAACGCTCAACAGATCCGTCCAGGTAGAACTTGATCTTATAAACCCAGCGGCACGCAATGGCCTTCTTCCCAGGTGGAAGATAGACAAGAGACCAGGTGCCATTGGCGACGAGGGCGGCGAACTCACATTGCATGGCTTCGCGCCAATGCTGGAAACGAACCGCCTGGAAGTAGTAAGTAGGTTCATAGACAGCACTAACAGCAGCAACAAATGCATGATGAGCCACGGAGAGGCGATGATACATCACATAATCATCGAGAGGGTACTGAACGGTGGCCGAATGAGCTGCCCCTGGAAGCTGTACCTCATATCCCTGCATTCGAGTGGAAGGTTGCCGAATGCGATCACTGCAACAAGGTTGAATAGGCGCTATAGGCGCAGGCGAACGGTCGACAGCTGGGGAGGTAACAGGGGTGACTATCTCGGGCGAGCTAGGTGACTGCAAGCCGTGGGAAGAGGAAGAGGGAGAGGCCACGGCGGCCTCGTGCATGGGTGCATGGGAGGAAGCAGCAGGCTCGGAGATGGGAGACACGGCATCCGAGCTGCCAGGTGACGAGGGAAGAGAGGCAGCAGGCGGCGGAGTGATGAACTCATCATCATCATCAACATCACGCGAGGGAGTGACACCGAAGTGAGGTGTAGAGACCAACGTTGGAGTTAGCGAATGACCATCCTCCAAGTCACGGTAAGGAAAAATATGTTCCAAGAACTTCACGTCACGCGACGTATATATAGTATGAGTAGCAAGATCATAAATGCGATACCCGCGTTGAGCCGAAGGATAACCAATGAAGATTCCAGCCCGACCTCGAGCATCAAATTTCGACAGATGATGATGATTATCGCGAGCGTAAGCCAAACACCCAAAGCTGCGTAGGTGATCGTAGGCCGGAGATTTATCAAATAAAACCTGAAACGACGAACGATTCCCAAGGGGAACAAGTGGGAATCTGTTGATAAGATAAGCTGCGGTCAATACACATTCACCCCAAAATTTGATAGGCAAATTAGCATGAAACCGTAACGCTCGTGCAGTGTCCAACAAATGCCGGTGTTTTCGCTCCACGACACCATTCTACTGCGGAGTATCTGTACAAGACGTTTGTAGCACAATCCCTGTATGTTCATAGTAAGTAGTAAGAATGCTGCTAGAAAATTCAGGGCCATTATCCGCCTGAATTCTCTTAACCTGCTTCCCAAACTACGTATGAACCATATTACAGAAATATAACAAATGGCGCGCAACATCCGACTTGTAACGCAACAAGAATACCGAAACAGCTCGACTAAAATCATCGACGATAGTCAAAAAATAATGTGCCCCTGACATAGAAGCAGTCTTATAACTCCCCCAAATGTCAACATGAATAAGATCGAAACAAGCAGTAGTCTTAATGCTGCTTAACTCAAACGGATCACGTGTCTGCTTAGCCCTTAAACAAGACCGACAGGGCTCTTTATTAGCAAGAAAAGAACAATGAATTGAACTCTCCAAGAGATGTAGTTTCCCAGCCGATGGATGCCCAAGGCGTGAATGCCACAACTCCGTGTTATCTAAGGATCTGCGAACCGTGTGCGCCATAGGGTGCCCTTGATCAAACAGCCTCAGATAATATAAGCCATCCACATGTCTACCCATCCCAATCAGCTTCTTGGATGGTAGGTCCTGAATAACACAGAAATTACCCAAGAATATTAACGCAACCGGTAGATCTGCAGTAAGCCGACTGACTGATAGAAGGTTGCACTGAAAATCCGGCACATAAAGAACCCGACGTAATAACAATTGATCAGACAATTGAGTCACCCCAATACTACGCACGCGAACACCTGTACCATTGGGTATTTTAACCTGTAACGACGGACTCGAGTCCGACTCAGTGGTCAAAAGAGAAGCATCATTAACTATATGCTCATTACACCCTGAATCGATAACCCAAGACGATGAATTAACATTAAATGTACCTGCCATGTTTGAGGAAGGCTCGCTAGAGGGTTGCGGCAAATCCCCACTCAACAACATCTTCAATTGCGCAAACTGGCGCGCCGTCAGACCCGGAAGAGGACTATCCCCTGCATCCACCTGCGATGCCTGCGGTGAGGCCCGACCCCCCTGATCAGAACGACGATTTGGCCGAGATGACTCCCCCTTTTTGCCGCTGCGGGGTGGGAATCCAATGAGCCGGTAGCACGACTCCTTCAGATGACCAGTACGACGGCAATGAGTGCATTTGGGCTTTCCTTCAGCGTCTCTGTCCTTCTCCCTTTCACGATCAGACTGCCCTGGGACGCGATCCTGCTTGCGCTCACCTTGTGCATGGAAAACCGCCGCTTCAGGACGTGGACGCCGACTCGCCGCAATTTGGCGCTGCTGTTCGTCGTTCGTGACCAGCCTGTAAGCCTCTGCCAAAGATGTAATTGGCTTCATAGCCAATATTTGGGACTTCACAGTGGAGAAAACATCCTCCAATCCCATTAAAAAATCAAACAAGCGCTCCCCCTCGCGAACCTCACGTTGGCGGCGCTTGACGTCACAAGAGCAACCCAAACAAGTGCACTCCAACGAGGGGGTGAGGGACTGAATTTCATCCCAATAGCCACGCAGTTTAGTATAGAATTGCGACACGGATGTCTTCTCTTGTTGAAGACCCGCAATCAGCTGCTTCAGCTCGTACAGCCGCGGTGCACTACCCTGGCCGAACCTCGACTGAAGATCAAGCCATATTTCACGCGCTGTAGACGCGAATCGAATGCTGTTACGTACCTCCTTAGTCATCGAGGTCTTCAGCCATCCCTTCACCATCGCGTTACAACGAACCAAAGCTTCCCTTTCAGCCAGAGATTTTGCGACGGGTAGGCTCCCATCAACAAAACAGAATTTATTTTTTGCGATTAGTGAGTCCGTGATATCCATGACCCACTCATTATAATTGACATCTGTCAATAGCTCTCCAACGAACAAGTTACTAGGGCTGTCGGATTGATGAAGTTGCAGATGCGACGACAAGGCAGCTTGTGCTTCGGAAGTGCTGGCCATTGGCGTCTTCTGGGTCGCGCTCGACTCTTCTTCTCCATCCGAAGCCATAATCGAAAATAGCTGGATCTCAGCACAGCTCTGATACCATGTAAAATACGAGAAAGCGGAAACGAAAAGAGACGAGATTTACGTGGTTTCCCCGTTCGATATGAACGGGACTAGTCCACGGAGAGCTGCAAGCTCTCGGAGTCTGTATTATTAGTTTGTTCTCACCCACTTAG